GCAATACAACTCAAGCCGTAAATTTTTTTTTATGATTGGGTGTAAGACTATTTGGTCTCAACATACAGAACCAAACATTTATAACAAACTCCTTCATACAAGAGAGCCAAGGCCCCAATGAATAAAAATTGATTGCACCCACCCATAAGCTTAGGCGACTTTTCCATGCAGGTGCAACACAAATTACTCCGAGTCAGAGATGCCGTAAGGCGGTCTAATTCCTCGCAGGTACGGTTGAAGTGCTCCTCAAGTCAACGAAAATTTTGTGAAGAAAGATATTGCGTTATAGTAACAATTTTATTTAAAAAAAAAACTGAGCTGTAAATCACGACAATAAATGAATATCTTCATAATCCCGCGAGACAAAGAAACTCTATTCTCTCATTCTTCTTGCAATCTTTATTCAAAGAGACTAGAGAATCAAAGTACTAAATGTATACCCAAGTACGGCAATATAACCTAACAAAGCTTTTTCAGGGATACATCATAGATATTGTTGACATACATAGTCATTTTCGAGTTGAGATCACTTGTCAAAATGGTCGAGCTGAGCCCACCCGTGGAAGTGGTTAAGCTAACCCGAGGTGAGCAACCAGAAAAAAATCATCATTACACACAAGGACATGTGTAAATCCTTATTTATGATGCCGCTTGATGCTCACGTCACAATCTTTTCATCAAGAATTGAAAGACATAGTACCGTATGTAATATAGCTTTATATTTCTTTTTTCTCGTGTATAAAAGGTCGGAGTGGCTCTCAAGAGATTCACTTTTAGGACCTCAAAAAGTGTTTTACCCTCTCTCTCTACCTCATACCTTTTCACTCTCTTTCTCTCGTTATAGTGGAAACAAAAATCCTTCGTTTGAACCATTCCCTATTGCCTAGGGATCTTGAAAAATATTGATTGAGAAATATGAGCCCTAACAAGATATCCATCACTAGAGCTGTAAACGAGCAGAGCTTGAACGAGCACAAGCTTGGCTTGTGTTCTGCTCGTTCGAAATTTTTTGTGTTTAAAATCGACTCGTGTTAGAAATTCTTCGAAATCGGCTCGTGAACAATGTGTTCGTGTTCGACTCTATTTAAATATTCTTCTTCGTGTGCGACTAGAAATTGGCTCAAAATTAATAAGAAAAACTGATATATGGTGTTAGATTCAAACATACTCCAACTCTATAGAATAGAAGACGCAAAATCACATTATTAGACGAATTGATATGATTTAAATATAAATATATATAATATATTATTAAATAATTAATATATATAATTTTTTTATTTCAAATTAAATAAGTGAATACCAGCGAGTCGAACACAAATTACTTAATGAATCAAACAGTAGCTATTTTCAAACAACGAGCTCTTTTAACAGCTCAATACATCACCTTCTCTTGTACTTATATCCTGAAGGAAAAAAAATTATTATATGTAGATCCTGCACATGTAGATTTCGCTTACATTTTTACAAAAGATTCAACATAAAATTAATCTAAAACTAATGAAAGTTTAGTTTAACGTAATTAAACCTTTTTAAAATTTATAATTAAAAGTAAGGAGGAGATATATAGTGCCGTACAGCTTGAGATAAGCCGCTAGCGGATAATATTTGAAACTCGGTCAAGCTGTCACGTTCCGACAATGAGTGAGCGGCGAAAGCTGGCGCTACCTAATCCGCCTCAGCTTTGTAGCCCAAACCTAAGACACGATCAACATGGGAGAACCACCCGCAGCTGGTTCAAATTATAAATTTATTTTTTTTTTTCATTTTATTTTTAAAATTTTTTTATTTTTATTTTTATTAAAATAAAAATAAAAATAAGCTTTAATAAAAAACAGGCTAGCGTGCATTTTATTCCCTCTTTTTTAAATTAAAAAGATCTCCTCAACTCTTCCATCATTAATCATTACGTCATTTCAGTCATTGCTGCTATATTTAACTTATATGTATAACATTTTAAATTATTATTATTTTAAAATTAGACACAGCAATGTGTCCCATGTGCATTGGATGGATGTTGGATGGGCCATGCCCTCCTGATTCACAATGTCAACTAGGGGTGTAAATTATGCTAGCTCGTGTTTGACTCGTTTATATTTCGAGCTCAAAAAGTGTGTTCGTGTTCGACTCGTTTGCTTAGCGAGCCAAACACGAGCCTTTCACGAACAGAAGGTCTTTTTGAAAACCTTAATCACGTAGCCATAAGATGTTAAGAATTGCAGCAAGATATAAAATATCATTTGAATCTAATATAATAATTTTTATTCTATTTTCTTAATTAATACTTTTAATTTATTATAAATCCTTGTATCCTTATAGTCATTTAATTTTTTAAAAAATACTACTCATTAAAGATATATATATATATATAATTGATTAGTAATATTTCAAGCCAAAATGAGCCGAACACGAACGAAAAAATATTTGTTCGTGTTCGGCTTGTAAATTTAGCGAACGAGCTGAACACGAGCTTCTTAACGAATCGATCGCAAATAAGTAGCCATTTTGACAGCCTTACTGTCAACCCTTCTTATTAAAGGTTTGGAGCATTTACATACGTGTCAACTTAATAATATGATAATTTTCAACATTAATCTGATCTTTGTAAGTAAATACAATAATATTTATATATTTTAATGCAACGTATAAATAAGAAAAATGCTGAGAAGGGAAGCAGATTGACGCAAAGATGGCATCATGCATTAATGGAGAGGTAGGCGGGTCCATTCAATGTTCAAAAGTAAATACAATAATATTTATATATTTTAATGCAATGTATAAATGAGAAAAATGCTGAGAAGGCAAGCAGATTGACGCAAAGATGGCATCATGCATTTATGGAGAGGTAGGCGGGTCCATTCAATGTTCAGCAAACCCTAACAGTGCCAAAAAGCGAGATACTGTTACATCATGCATGGCGGCCAATTCATCACAATTCAAACCACTGCTGTAACTTTTGGAGGTAAAAAGAACGCATATTTCTTATGTATTTATATATTTGGCACTTAGACTTATATATATATATA